TAAAAAGCTCTTATGGTTTTCATTTTATTTAATGATTATTTATAGGAACAAGTGCCATATTATTTGTAATGTCTACGTCTATATCTGGACTGAAGATACATACAACTCCACTATGAAACGCCTCCAAAAACAAGCACAACCAAACTATAAACATGAAACTCAGTGGCAGGCACCAGATCAGTTATGACTGCTACTGCTTCACAAACATTACATTAAGAGGCACTGAGTCAATACAGTGATCCCAGTCATGATTTATTAGGAGTTCTGTGAATAGTACTGCTACCTTTGTTTAGATAAAGGACCTGCATACCACTTCTGATACTGGTAATAAAAATAGTAGCAGTGTGAGGAGGTAGTATCATGTGGTCATAATAAGAGGATCACTAGTAGAAGTGTTTCAAGCCGCATTGTGACTTTAAGTCTTACCTCTGTCCTAGTTTTCAGAGCTGAAGCTTCTTCTCAGCTCTTCTCCAGATGTGTTTGACGTCCAGGCCTTCTGGTGACTCTTTCAGCCCTCAGGTGAGGATGCACTGTTTCTAGTTTTGTCTCCTATCTGGCCCTAAGAGTTGGATCACTTCTGCCTACTTGAACCACTCAGACACCTTGTTTTACTCCTGCCCCAGCTAGCAAGAGTTTGGCTTATTTGGGACACAGTACCTTTGTGACATATCAATTCTGACAGAAAGGGTGTGTCTCAGTAAGGGAGGTTGCTCAAAGTTCCTACTTAATAATGACTTTAAGCAGTATTCAAATGGAGAGTTCCTTAAGTAAACAAACCCAGTGAGTATTAAAAGCCTGGGGGGAAGCTGTGAAGGCACCTATAGAGGTTTTTATGATCATTTTAAGAATGGCAGTTTTTAAGGATAATAAGCCAAAAGGGTGACCATAAAACACAAAACCACTAAAGCCAAAACCTAATCTAATCTGATCTACAAATAGTGTCAAAGTTCACAGTTGGGAAGTGAAGAACTTTCCCAGTGAACTAAAAAACTGTAGAGAAAGTTCAGCTTCATCAAGCCAAGTGTTCCACATGACGAAAAAAGTCACTGTCAAGTTGTGCTGTTACAGGATTAGCACACTGTTTGCATGCAGTAGCTTTCCATTTCAACTAAACTTGAAAGTGGGATGGCATGAGGAAGGGTGACTATAGGAGGATATATGGGGTCTAGAGCGTGGGTCATAACAGAGGTGAATTATCAATAAATCATCCAGAGGAAAATACTGTTTCCAGTTGTTCCAAAAAATTGTAAAGTATTGCTGGAAAAGTCCAATGTCCAATGCACAGAGTGAACACAAGTGTTAGACAGGGAAAG